GTGTGGACAGGGCTACATTGAGGGGAGGAGGGGCTTATATTTGGAAGTTTTCGGTAAAGTAATTGACTGCAAGTAGACTTGTTATCAATTTTAACCCCTAATTTCCATGGATCATATAAATAATCGGGGCGGAAGAATTTTTAATTTATTGTAATGAGTCTCTGGGAACTAAATGCCTATAGTGCCACAAGAGCTGAAATGTTGTTGATAAGATCATGTTGTTTAGAAATATACTATTTTAAATTTTCGTTTTTGAAATGATTCACCATGTTGAAAATACTGCATCAATTCCTTGTCATAAACCGCGTTTTTCTCCTAGACCTCACGATCAGCCACCCTAGCTAAATTCTACTCTAGAAAGCAGCAGGCCTCAAATTCTGTTTATATAATACTACTTTTTATTTTTCTAGAATTACGCGGAGTCACTTGAAACAGACAAGAAGGGAAACAGTTTTCTGTAATCCAAAAGTGAGAAGCCCATCTTTTGAAGCAAAACGAGGAAATGCGGAAAATACACAGGAACAAACATATATTCACAGCATTTGAACACAAACACGAATCTTTAAACTTAAAGATGCGGTACTGTCCGCTCCGCGCATGAGTACGTATATCGGAGTCTCCTGATCGAGACACAGTTTAACTAAGTTGTCTGTTCTTGCAAAGCCTGATTGTGCTATCATGATATCTTTGATGTGGAAGGAGGGAAATATGGAAAGTTGTCACAACTTCGTTTACGAAGGCCATTATTTGTGTACAAAAAATTTAACAAAGCTGACTCATGTGCAAACGGACTGTATAACGCATCTTTATGCCCATTTTCAAAATTGCGCGATCTACCCAAAAATAATCCTAGTTCTCCCAGGGTCTTTCCTCTTGGGGAGAAAAGACCGTAAACGCTGGACAAGTGATTAGCCAAAATCTAGCAGGTTTCTAATTAATCATCTTGGATTCCTTTACGAGAATCATACAAAATGCAAATTATAAATTAAACTATGAAAATTATCCAAATATCAAATATTTATCGACCTCATCTTGGATTGCTAATTAAAAATCTGCTAGATTTTAGCAGATCACGTGACCAGAGTCTTTTCTCCCCTAGCCAAGAAGAAAGACCCTGGGCACGAGGTTGCCATTAGACTATAGCGGTAATATTATTATGATTTTGCTGTGCTTAAATTTTGCAACAAGTATCGCTAAAATACACACACAAATATTTCATATACATCGTTAACGAACCACAAAAACGCAGTGTTGTGACCAATGTGATCTTCATGTGACATGTTAAGTTTTGGCCTGGTCGCGTGATTTTAAAAACGGGCGCAAGGGCCTAGGGCACACGAAATATTTAACTGCATGAAATAGTATATACACGAATTCAGCTTCTCTGAAAACATTTGCATATTATCAATCACATAACGTACTCATTTGCTTGTGAGCAATAGATTAAGAACTATAGTTATGTAACAGCTTCAGCATAAAACATTATCTCACGCCACAGGCGGCCCAATCTCGCAAGGGTCAGTATAGACTTATAGTATAAATGTATATTATATTATATTATATTATATTATATTATATTATATTATATTATATTATATTATATTATATTATATTATATTATATTATATTATATTAATGTACTGTATATTATAGTAAAAATATGTCGTAAAATATAAATTTTAAAATGAAATTGACTTGCCTATTTGATAGTGTGTGTTCTCCTTTTATTTCTCCTTTGTTGGACTAATATTTTCCGAGACTTTGTACTCGATGTTACTAGTATACATGAAACATGATAAAGGCTAACGATTCCCGATCGTCGATACGACGGCACGGCACTTCCAATCGAAAATTTTCACACTCAAAATCGCTTTATTCTCCAAACAAATTCGCCAGCATGTACAACAAATGCCGTTCTTCGAAAATACAGAAGTACTTCGGCGAGATGTACAAGTTTTGGACCATATTTTAACAATGGAAATCAAAACCCATTTTATATTGAACTTACCCGGACCGAAAATTACTACGGCGAACGTCTGCGCAACCAGGCCTCCTTTACCGTTGGATTTACAGGGGGGGAGGATGCCACTAATATATTCACGATAATATTTCGGATTAAAGTATCATATTCTACCATACTTTCCAACAAAGAGCCGCTGAATATTACTTCTTCCTTAAATTTCTTCAATCTCCGTCGTTTAATTTTCTTTTCTTCGACAACATCTCGAGTTTTATACAGTATCCGATCGAAGGAGTTTTTATTTTGAATATCAAATTTCAAATAATGTAAACAGTCGCTACGCGGCCGCGATTGGCTGGCTGTTACCGGAAATATCTGCTTCCCCCCTGTAAATCCAACGGTAAAGGAGGCCTGGTTGCGCAGACGTTCGCCGTAGTAATTTTCGGTCCGGGTAAGTTCAATATAAAATGGGTTTTGATTTCCATTGTTAAAATATGGTCCAAAACTTGTACATCTCGCCGAAATACCTCCGTATTTTCGAAGAACGGCATTTGTTGTACATGCTGGCGAATTGTTTTGGAGAATAAAGCGATTTGAGTGTGAAAATTTTCGATTCGAAGTGCCGTGCCGTCGTATCGACGATCGGGAATCGTTAGCCTTTATCATGTTTCATGTATATTAGTAACATCGAGTACCAAGTCTCGGAAAATATTAGTCCAACAAAGGAGGAATAAAAGGAGAACACACACTATCAAATAGGCAAGTCAATTTCATTTTAAAATTTATATTTTACGACATATTTTTACTATGATATACAGTACATTAATATAATATAATATAATATAATATAATATATTAATATAATATAATATAATATAATATAATATACATTTATACTATAAGTCTATACTGACCCTTGCGAGATTGGGCCGCCTGTGCTCACGCATATATACCTAGTGCATTAGCGGCTTTTCTGTTGGCTACGAGGTGCGTTCAATCTCGAACCTACCTGCTGATGTATGTTTAGGAGGGGTTCGAGATCGATGTTTTGGCGGCGGCCAAAAAAATAATAATAATATGAAATAATAATAATAATATAATAATATGAAGCGATTTGAACAAAAATAAAAAATAAATCAACTGTTTTTAATTGTTTTATAAATATTATTTTTTTGTTTCATGAAAATGGAATATTAATTCCGTATTCAAAGTGGAAGAGAAAGATGGCCGCCGAAATTTGTTCGGCACGGGCAGGTTTATATAAATCTTGGCAATGTTTTCGCAGAATGTGCGCATTTTCTCTTTTCAAGAATAAGGGAAATATTGTAGAGAATTGTTTCAGCTTGAATTTAAGCAAAGTTTGTTTGTTTTCGTAGTATGTTGGCGGCCAAAATGTTCGTTATCCACACAAGAAATTATATACTAAAATGCGTAAATTCTTTAGTACTTTTTACCGAAATGGCATGTGATAAAAACCAAACATACTTGCATGTAGGTTGGATGAGTCCGGGATTGGACGCACCTCGCTTCGCTCGGTGACTCTGGAAATTTCCAGCCACCCTCGGTGCGTCCAATCCCGGACTCACCTCCCTGCAAGTATGTTTGTTATAAAACCTAATTGGTTTTGCATTCGTCCATATCATGTAAATCTAGGTTATATTTATTTTACCTGACGTTTCGCCTTCCTATTCGAAATCCATTTTGAAGGAACTTAAATTAGTTTACAAATTTCAACTTGCGTCAGCCCCAGTCAATTGTCGTGTGTGTGCGGGTATATGAAAAATGACAATATTTTAGATGAAAAAGAGCGTGTTACTCTGGTAATGGAAAAATACCAAAACTATCGATTTTTGTCTTTTTACTTGACGAACATGAATGTCTTCTCAAGATATGACTAAAATATGTAATTAAAAATGTTTTCTACCTCCAAGTTGCTTACTCTAAGGTTAAATTCATATGTAAATTTTGTATCAAGAGGTCTTAAAACATCAACTCTTTTATAGCCGCCATATTGGATTCTCCTTGTTTGGGAAGCATTGCGTCATTTTAATGTTACGTCCTCGCTGATTGGCTGTATTAAAGTACTTCGCAGCTAATTGGCTATAAAGTAATAAATATACCCAACTACAGATACAATGCCCCCTCTACACCCTCCCCATCACACTCTCCTTCCCCCTAGTGTCTGCCACTGAAATGAATACGCTAATCACGATGATTTATTGTAATTAAAATTGGCCACCATTTTAACAGTGCTTCTCGTACAATTATTACTTGCTGTGTTGTAATTTAAGGTATTGCTATTAGAATTCTAAAAATCAATTGAGACCAATAAAGTGTCTAGCTGATGGCGAGTGCATGCGACTAAGTTTGACAGTTCACAAACAAGGAAGTCATTATTTCCCACCACGGGTTGAAATTGCCAGTTCTTTTAGGTAAGCAGCAAACAATTTCATCTAAAACAAAACAAAATACAAATAAATTTATAAATCCTTGTCCAGGTTTAAGAATATGGAAAGAGTAAGTATTCACAATTCTGAATATCTTGCAATTTTCAAATAGAGAGTTTATGTCTATATTTTCTGATCCGAGTTGAGGTCATCAATAGACAATTCCCATTATAGACTAATTTTAAAATTAGGCAAGGAAACCCAAATAAATCAGCACAGCTAGAAAGAGTATACTAAAATTAGTAAAATTACAAAGTTTGGTTGCGAAATGTTGTAAAATGAGGAAAATATAGCCTTGTAAAGTTCACAAATTTTGTATACTTTTGTATTGCTTGCGGAAATTCCTACCACATTCCTACCACATTTAGGCCAAAAATGTCGCACGCAATACAAAAGTATACAAAACAAAATTTGCAAGGCTATATTTTCCAAATTTTACAACATTTCGCAACCAAATTTTGTAATTTTACTAATTTTAGTATGCTCTTTCTAGCTGTGGTGATTTATTTGCATCTCCTTGCCTAGTTTTAAAATTAGTCTATAATGGGAATTGTCTATTTTTCATCTCACTATCTACATGCAGATATTTTCCAAAAATGGACGTCAGAATTTATATATCCATGCTCAAATTAGTCTACATCGAAATTTTCAGAATTTTTTCACTGCAGGGGAAATTCCATACAAATGTATAGTAAAAACAACATTTTCAAAACGCCGTAACTCGCGCCGTGAATGTTCAAACATCACGAAATTTTCTGTATATAGACCAACTCGAGCATGAAGATTTCAATTCTACCAAAATATAAATCGATAACGCAAACTCGGATCGGAGAATTATACAACAGTAATTATATCACTCGCGCCCGACGTTATTTGGGATAGTTGTGGTGATATTCTTGGGGATATAAACTTCAAAAACTCCAAAATCGTGCCGCCAGAGTGATGACGTCATAGATGTAGTTATAACACCATCTGTTTGAAAAACTTGGTTGGAAAAACCTTGCATCTCAGCGTAAAATCCTAAGGCTATGTATAATGAAAATATATTCCAAACTAAATTCCCTGACCTTAGTCCAATAAACAAACTTACAAAATGACATCACACAGAGTAAAATGGCGAAGCTAATCCCCTTAGTATGGATTTACATTAGGCCATGTAAAAAATATCCCGGTTTACCATCAGTGGCAGCTGCAGAAAAAACCCGTGCGGACGGGTAAAAATAAATATCGAATGTAAGCATATTACTCATTGTATTCTCAATAAGATATTCCATATTAAACACCGCGTGTCATTGAGAAGAATAATATTAAGTAATCAATGCGTGATCCCTCCTTAAATAAAGTTTAATAATAATAACAAGCTTAATCTCAGCGTAAAAGTGCCAAGGCTGCTATAATGGCGTGTAAATCTCTGAATGGTCACGTACCAGATTACCTAACGGAAATGTTTGTCGAACGTAGTAGCGTTATAAATTATACGTTGAGGAATATTGGAGGCAAATTAGCTTTGCCTCAACCACGCACATATTATTTGAAAAATAGTTTTAGCTATGGTGGTGCGGTAATGTGGAACACCCCTTCCATCCAAGTTAGTATCATTAAATGCATTTATATGAGGATAAAATCCTGATTAGTTTTCCGTGGTTAAATAAAGGTCACTTAAGTCTGGTTTCCATTAAATCGTAATCATCGCAATAGTCGCAGAACGCAGACATCGCTATCGCAAAATTCGCAGTAAGTCTATCTTTGCGACGTTGTCGTTAAGAGTCTTAGTTATCGGTGTGACTCAAGTTTCCAAGAAATCGCAGTTTTAATTAAAATTTGCGCGTTTTTAAAATCGTTGCGACGCTTGCGATGCGGTTCTTGCGATAATTACGATTTAATGGAAACCAGGCTTTAGTTACTCTTATACATGCACGCAGACCGATAATTCGGTGCTACGCGCACTGTCGACTATCAGATCATATACTACAACTCGACCTCGTGTACAATTATTGTTAATATTTAAAAAAAGCCATCAAAAACTGTAGTCTGTGAAATTTTTGGAATAACTTCAGAATACCAGGCCACTTAAAAACACACGTTTTAACCCGTCGCTACATGGCTACGCGGGTATATGACTACATGGCCACCTGACTACGTGGCTATCTGATTTCGTGTCTACGTGGCTACCTGGCTATCACCGTTAAAGCAACAAAAGATCACCATTAAAGCAACAAAAATTCGCAATTGATCGGTCCCCTGCATGACCCACACCCACCCCTTCTCTAACCCTCAGCATTACCTTGAACCATGGTAAACCTATGCTAACCCTTGTTCAGTCTTGTCGTGTGCACTGCATTGGACAGTGTTTTGAGTAGTAACCATGCATATATGCGGAGTTCAATTTTTGAGGCCTGGTATTCTAAAGTTGCACCAAATTATTGCTTACCCCATTCTGGAAGTTGGAGATATTCAATTTTTCATTTTGAGAATGAGCGCCATCATCAGATCTCCCCATTGGTAACAACACACAATCTTTGCCAGTTGTTTCAGACAGTGTCAATACGACTGGGATACTGCCTCCTTCGCGGGTGTAATCTGGATCTACGCCGTGAACTGTAAAAGAAATCATTATTTAGATTTCCAGGGCAAGATTTTAAGTAGAAGTATACTGAATAAAGATGAACCGATCGCTAAGGTTGCCAGGGCTGCAAATAAATATTTGACTTGACAGGAGATTTGTCCGATCACTTTTTATTTTGGTCGGACATAACTTGAATTTTGTCGGACAAAAACCAACATCGCTACATTTGATCGGACATATATATGTCACAAGATATAATATAAGTCACGAGACAAGTATGTATAGCCATTCTGGTGCAACGTTAAGTAAAATGCTAGAATGCCTCGTATATTTTATTGCAAAATGCAAATTCAGTGAATTTGCAATCGGATTTTGTCACAGCAAAAAAATGTATAATGTGACAATTTTTTTTTGTGATCGGACCAATGTCCGATCAAAATTACTTTTGCTCGCGGACATTTGCCAAATTTAGTCGGACATTGTCCGATAGTAATTTGCAGCCCTGGGTTGCCGATCACCGGTTGTACTAAACCATGCACCACTTTGTTAAGGTTATAGCTTACACTTAACCGGATATAGCTTTCCGTAGCGACATGAAAACTAAACTTCATATCTTACATTAAATATCCAATGCCTGCATGCAAATAATGAGCTGTGGAAAAATCTGTAATTGCATTTTTATGGGAGATGCACCCTGTATATATGATGATGACAAAGGCCGCGTTTACACTATAACGTTACGTATAGCATTCTGTTAAGAAATTACTGTTTGTTAGGCCGTGTTAGCGTGTTTACACCATGACGCTACGGCAAATTAATTTACTGTAGCGTATTGATTTGCATCCGGAGTGCCAAGCGTATATAGTGGTTCGTAGTTTGTACGCTACAGCAAATCACACTGTTAGTACTGTACAGGTGATAGTATATGGTTTCGAGTGGAATTTGGAAAAAAACATGCACGAGTGTGTTTTTCAAAGACGATCAAAAGGAGGAGTGCGCAAGACAAGTTCAATTTGAAGTCTTTGAAAAACTCACGAGTGTACGTATGTTTTTCCAAATTGCACGAAAAACCGCACCATCACTTGTTAAAAATATACATGTAATGTTTACACGCTTTGATAACACCTGCGCACTAATCTACGACATTTAGGCATTGTTTTCATTGTCTGTTAGCAAGCCTTTTCAATTTATGTGCTCTTTATACTTAAATTGTTATATTTACGTACAATCGTCAAAA